CCAATTTTATAATTTTACCATAGCATTTGATATATATAATGATTTCTGTAAATTGTTCCAGCAGTTTATATTTTCTTTAGCATTTGTATTTAAAATGTATGATTGTTGGATTTTCCTTTTTCTTTTTGCATAAAATGACATTTAAAAGATAAATGTCATATTTTATTAATATGAAACCATGATACAAAAAACAAAATACGCACTTATGTATTACAAAGATACTCAAATACATAACTTTCTCTACCTCTTAAGGTACTGAATTTCTCATTAATCTGCAATATTGAAACAAGAGATTAAGAAAACGAGTTTAGGAAAATTTCCAGAGTAAATCGAACTTGGGAAACACAGAGAAAATTACAAACGAACCTAAACAAGAGGAACTCGAGATGCAAGAGAAACTAAGCAAATTAGTACTAAAATCGCAAACATAATGAGAAAGACCTACTCGTCGAGACACACGAATATACTCGTCGAGACACACAAGAAGATCTACTCGTCGAGACACACGAATATACTCGTCGAGACACACGGATCTCAACATAGTGGTGGCGAGTGGTCAGGCGAGCTTATCTAGATCTGGAACCAACTGAGGAACTAGAAGACCCCGCTGCATTCGATTTCGATTTCATGGGCGAGGAAATCTCTATTGAAAACATTTTTCTGGAATAAGGAAAATTAGGTATTCAGATTCTAGATAAAGATAGGCTTTTGGGAGTGAAGATGAAGGTGAGAGAGACGAGGAAGAAACGTTAGATTTTTTCGAGGAAGAAGAGAAGACGAGGAATAGAAGTGAGATGAGGAAGGTTTATGTCTGTTGATTTAAACTTAATCAACTAGATAATAGAAAAAGTGAGAACCTATACTTTTTTATTTGCATTTCTTTTTTCTTTTTTTGTCAGATTTATTTGTTTTTTTCTTGGTTATTACACACAATTTCTCTTTTTTTAATAAGTGTTGGATCTTGGGGTTTGAGTTTAATATATTAATTATGTATTATGTTTAAGTTTTAGGGTTTACGGAATGATTATACTTGAATTTTGAATGTGTTGTATTTATTGGTATATTATTTGTTGTTCATATTTCTCTTTACTCGATGCTATCATGTTCCTCTATTTAACCAAGAACTCATTATTCTTTTAAAAATAGAGAATTAAAACATGCCTAAAATGAATTCTAGAATATTAGAAGACATATTATTTGAATAATTTATATCAAAATACATATTACCATATATAGAAATTTTTTTAATACAAATCCATCTCAAATCCATGACAATCCATAGCAATCTATAAAAATATTTTGTAAGAATCAATGACAATCCATAAGAATTTCTAAAATTTCCTAGATTTTTAAAACCCATCAATTCTACACAATCTATCAATGAATAAGGGCCCCTAAAACTTTAGTGTTTATGACTAAAGGTTAGAAGTTTAGGGTTGGTATATGAGGTTTAGAGTTTACAATTTGGAAAGTGATTATACTTAATTTTTTGAAAATTCTATATCCTAAATCGAAAACTCATCAATCCATAAACATTTATTATATTTCTACTTTGATAACACTAATATATTTCAA